ACGTTGCTCAAAGATTGAGAACCATGTTGGTATCAATTACATCTCAAACTCAATAACTCTTGTTGTGGTTAATGGGTTTGAACTTTATTTTTTAAAAATTAACGGGGGGGGGGGGTGGGGGGTGGGGGGAGGGGTTTGTGCCTTTTTCCAGGGGGTAGGCTAGGAGAAATATTTTTTTAAAAAATGTTTATTTAATGTGACTTAAAAGTGGGGAGCTCTCAAAATTAGGGGGGGGGGGGTGGGGGGGGGGGGTGGGAGGGAGGGGTTTGTGCCTTTTTCCATGGGGTAGGCTAGGAGAAATATTTTTTTAAAAAATGTTTATATAATGTGACTTAAAAGTCGGGAGCTCTCAAAATTTGAGAGAAGGCATTGTTCAGACTTACTTAAAGCTTTTTTGTTTAATGATTGAGTTTGTTGAGGAGGGGAGTGTTTTACATGATTTTCAAGGTTAAGCTTAATATTTTCATATAGCTGGGTTAGTTAAATATTTTAGTAAGGCAATGTATTATCATTTTTTTGTAACTTTGAACGCCTATTCTTTAAAAGGGACATGTTGAGCTAATAAAATTATTTTTTTGTTGCATGTGGATTTTAGATTGCATATTTAGCCTTGCACTTAGAAAACATCAAACTATTACGTTTTAACCGAAGCCTACCACTTATTAAATTATATAAAATTTCAATTGAATATCTCTCCCATAATACTAAGTTACATTTCTAGCATCCAGCCAGGGCCAGTAAAAAGAAAACAAATTTTAAAAAAACAAAAACAAAAAACAAAAGCAAGCCGTAACTAGGAAATTGCAAGTAAAAATCAGGAATTAATGTTTATACAAAAATATGCTTATCCTTTTCAAAATAAAGATACATTTATATATTTAATAAGCTTGGCGAATCCAGTAAAATTTAAGGTAGAATAATTATTTTATAACATTGCACTGTACCCCTTACCCCAAATATTGCAATAAAACGAAATAATAAGCGAACCATTTACCTCATTGCTTCATATACTATGTGCACGTTTGTTTAAAATATATTCAGTGTTTTAAAGTTAAGTTCTTGCTTCCAGGATCTTCGCAAAATGCAAGCTTGCAGAAAACCCCATGGAAGTAAGATTAATGATTAAATTTTTAGTTCTCTTTCTCATTAAATGTGTACAATCTGTTAATTAAAATGACAATATTTTTAATCACTTTTGATGAAGATGATTAACACTACGAGCAATAAAAAATATGTACATTTAAATTTTTTTAATTTTATCTATTTCTTAATATCAGAAATATATACTTTTTTAGTAATTGGTCTAAAATTAAGTAGGCCTATAGCTAATAATTCATAGATAAAATGTTCAATGCTAAGTCAAATATCGTATATTTGTATTGTTTACAGTATATTATATCCCTGGAGCACAGCTAAGGTAAATCTATGAAGGTTTCAGACATTATTTTAATGAAATCCATTTTAAAAAATTAAAAATCTTAACAAATAAGTTTGAGCGTAAATTGATTTTTTTTTTTTAAATCTTCATTTACATAAAACCATAAGTTAATAAGATTTTATTAAAAAAATGTACACAATTAAAAATAACATTTTATGATTAGACCTTCTAAACGACTATGCTTGCTCATACTACTACAACTATATACATACACAGTTTTTGTAGAATTATGTTTAACGTTTCATTATTTCAGAGAACACATGATTCTGAGTCGGAACGATGTGAATTATGGGATAATGCAGAGCTTGTCAGAAAGCTGAACCAATTTCGTGTTCCTGAATCTGTCGTCAAAGTTTTCAAAGTTAAGTAAGCTCGATTGTGTCATCGAAGGGTATATATTAAGTAGAAAAGGGCTGCTATTAAAGGTTTCCTAAAATTTTAATATTTTTCATTAATAATTTAAATTTATTTTATAATGAAATATATTTTTTAATAGAATGAATGAATATCTTATGAATAACCAACTGATTGGGTCAAAGTGTTTAATTTATGTTCTCTGTTCACCAAAAAAAAGGGTAATATCCATCATAATCATACAAGTAATTTAAAATAAAACTAGAATGAATGTATAAAAATAAAACAATCCTACATTCAAATAAAACTTACTTTTAAAAAAAATGAAATTCTTGTAAAATCAACAAACTACTAACGAATATGGACTTACAAACTTATTGCGTATTTTTTTCTGTTTTGTTAATATTAGCTAGGAAATTTTCGCCTTCCGTATAGGCCTGATAGTTTTGAAGCATTTTGTATTGCTTTGTAAAAATTCTGTAACTTTCTGGGTATCTGTTCTGTAAGTGGATGTAATCAATGGGGAGGTTCCTCCGAATCTGTCATCAAGCGTTATCACCAAATGCAGCTTTCTAAAGTCTGTGTTTTTTGGGGTTTTTTTTAAACTGGGAAACCAGGCTGGAGTTAAAATGATCTCAGAAAACGGAGGGAGCATTTTTTCAGTATATGCTTTGTCATACAAGTCCATCTCCAACAATTACAAATTCAGACAAATTTCTTCAAAAATGCATATGATTTAACATAAATGTCCAATGTACTTTAAATATTTGTATCCATATCCTTTTCAACACATAGATGAATGATTAGTACCGAAAATAGTACACGTATTGATAAAGTCTTATTAACTTTGATTAAATGTTCATCTAACAAATTTCTTAATCTTTTGAATGGCATGTAATGTTAAAATTTTAAAAAAATTTCATGTTGTTCTATGTGTGTACGTCTTGGCGTAACGTGGTGAATTTTTTTTGACAGTTTAACACATAATCCATAATGATCTTATGTATTAATTCATCCGTGACTGGCATGATTAAAGCAATAAAGATTAAGTCGTATAAGTCGAATTCATAAATGACAAACAAACATAGTTTGATCATTTGCTCAAACTCAATAGGTAACGATGGCATATCTCTTCAATCAAAGTTTCTCACACGTCTTTATGCAAGGTTCACTTTGACATTAGCGGGTAGCTTTCAAATACTGTTGAACACGCCTTTTATTCCGGGGTGTATTTTAGAAATTCCTTTTGATACCCAATCTAGGTTCAATTTCATTTAATGTGAAAAAGGGTGAGAGCTTAGATTTAAATTAAATCAAAGTCTAAAAAATATAGGTCTGTTGTTCATAATATTTAAGTATAAAATGTTTCATAACTTTACAAATATTAATGTGATGAAATCTTGATGAATATATTTTTCATAATATTAAAACGCTTTTTGGAACATCCCCCAACCACTTATTACGTCCACCTGAAAGATGCTATGGAGAAAAACGACACTAATTTAGCGAAATTTGGTAAGGCGGTGATATCACCTTCCATCTTCACTGGGGACCTCACTATATGCTCCAGCGTACACAAGACGCAATGACCTACTTACGTAATTACGCCCCCCCCCCTGACTTATTCATCACATTTACTTGCAATCCTAAATGGACTGACATCGCTGAAGTGCTCTTCCCGCATCATAAACCTCTACATCGCCACGACCTCATCGGTCATCTATTTCATCTGAAAACTTGCACAATGATAGACTTGCTCACCAAGAGTAACATTTTAGCTGTACAACTTGCTACATGTACACCAAAGAGAGGCAAAAGCCAGGTCAGTGTGGACCTGCTTGATCTACGGAATATGCAGTAAAAAGTACAGGCGTACCTTCATATCGGAAACTCAGACCGGTGAAGATTGTTACCCTCAGTACCGCGAGCGCGCGCCGTCTGAATTAGTCATGTAATAAATATCAATGGTATATATATATCGACAAAAGATGGGTGGTCCCTTATATTCCTGTGCTGTCCCGCTTCTTCAATCCTCACATCAATGTAGAATTGTGTAATTCAATAAAATCTATAAAATACATCTGCAAAGTGTCAACAATAAGAGTAAACAGGCATTTTTTGCAATACAAGATAACAATTACGAGGTGTATCGATACGAAGCTGGTCGTTACATAAGTAGTTCTGAGGCAGCCTGGCGCATCTTCTGTTTCCACATTAAAAAAAAAAAAATAATTCTGAAAGTGGAGGCACCAATACTTTTAATGCAAAACTTAGAGCTTTCAAAACTATGTAACGGCACCAGACTTCAAATCACGTGTTTGCAAAAGAACCTAATCGAGATAACTATTTTCACTGGCAGTGGCTCAGGGGAGACAGTTTTTATTTCTCGTATCTACATTATACCATTTGATCTCCCATTTCAATTCAAGCGCCTCCAATTTCCAATAAGAGTCTGCTTTGCAATGATAATTAATAAGTCTCAAGAACAGACCCTGCAAAAAATTGGCATTGATTTGAGGAAGATTTTGCATTTTGCATGGCCAACTATACGTTGCATGCTCAAGATAAAGCTCAGCGCACAAAATGGTTATACTACAACCGGAGGGCGAACTGACAACGTGTTATTCAAAGTGATCATTAAAAAATAACTACTGGTAACTTTTCGCTCATTTTATTTAATTTTTTCTGCATTTTTTTTCTTAGAACCCCCCCCCCCCGCTACGAAGCACGGGCTGTTGTTTGTTAGTCCGTTGAAGCTGACTAAGACCATCAAGTCATCCGGTCAAGGGAGTGTGGGTTTACCGTGATCGTAAGTGGCTTGCTAGACCAATCCGTGCTCGGAAAAATCTCTGGGACTGCGGGCATGGGATAGTTGCCGGTGACCTCATGTTGCTCTTTCGGACAATCATGCGTAATTCAGCATTGGATATCCTATAAGCTTCATGGGATTTAGCCCACTTTTTGAAAGATGCTCTCCACCTGGCTCTGTCCTGGGTTGTCCGTACCGATTGAGTAGGGTTAATGCTGAATGCCTTTAGGGACACTTTCAAATAAACTTTATATCGCTTTTTTATGGACCTCCTTGGGAGCGCTTGCCTGTCGTAATTTGCTAGTATACATACACATGTATATATATGTATATATATATATATATATATAAGGTGAATACTGCATAAGTGGGGTTTCTACGGTTTGGGGAGGGGGGGGGAAATACTTATTGGTTTTTATTTGCTTAAAATTATTAGACACATTGAAAATTAAAACTCAAATTGTGGAATATAATCATTAATGCTTTATCTTTGCTATTTCTTGTTGGATGTAAAACACTTATCGCTTAACAAATGTCCATGCATTTTTAATTGTGTACATTCCACTGACAATAATTCTAATTATGCTGTTTTATTTTAGCTGCCTTTTAAGGTCATGAAATGAGAGGTATTGTGGGTGGTGTAACGATGTCATGACATTGGGTTATGTGAACGAGTGTCATCTGTTTTCAATTTATGGACGAGTGCGTGAATTATTAGGATAAAAGTGGAGACAACGATTTTGAAAGCAGGGTTAAATAGGCATCCAGAGAGTTTGTGAGAAAGAGCAAGCAACTCAGAGGGTAAATTTTTTAGATAGATTCGTATGAGATGTTTTGACTGAGGAGAATAATTATCTACACATGGATTTATGTCTCAACTATAATGTGAACATGATTGAATTTTAGTGCTGTCAAAATAAAATGCAATAGGTGCTATGAAACTATAGTTTTGACTGAATCCAGCTTGTCCGAGATATGACCAAGGAGAGCATTCCATCGAAAAAGTCGCCAGCACTATATAAAAATTTAGATAGTGAAATATTGGACACTGCTATTTAAGTTTCCATTTTACAATTTTCATTTGCAATACAGCTGAGGCATAAGTAAACGTCACAATCATAAATCAATGTTACTTTCGCCAATGCAATGCTCTGCCACATTTTCTCATTTTTACATTTTTCTAAACTGATAAAATCATTTATCCTCTAAAACATATCATATATTTTACTTTTTATTTTTTTTTTTTGGTTTATTTCCAGATGAGGGTTTGACTGGCGAACATCTTAAATATTTGACTATCGATTTGTTGTTGATGAAAAATTTGACGTAGTTGAAAATTTATTTTTGTTATTTATATTAGTTATATATAATAATCTATATATTAAAAAAAATAAGGTACGACAATTTATTAACATTTAAAGAATGCAAAATAAAAAATAAAATCTTAATAATAATTTTAATTTATAAGTATAATCTGGCACAATTTTATTGAAACATTTTAAATTGATACAAATACAATTTGGGATAAAAAGTTGTTCATTAATATCTAAAATCATTTCAGATTTCATGAAATTTTAGACCTTCAGGAGAAAATGGACGGCATGTTGACTAGAAAAGCTGGAGGTAAATCTGTAAAGGTACAGTTGGCGTAAGATATATTTAATGCTTTTGAAAAATCAGTTTTGTATGAATTCAGATGCGATTAATAATTGTATGTTCTTTATTATTTTAATTGTTACGAAAAGTGTTTTAAATTGTATGTTTAATAAAATTATTGTTAGAACCATATCTAATATTGTTGAAAATGTTTATTTTTTATATAAAATGTTCGCTTTCCTGATTTTCTCCTCTTTTATGATTCACTTTTATTTAGCTATAAAATATTCCATAATATTATAATTTCCTTTTTTTAAAGATCTACAATGATCCCATCCATGGTCACATTGAAGTTAATCCAGTTTGCCAAGCCATCATTGACACACCACAGTTTCAGCGTCTACGTTTTCTGAAACAGCTGGGAATGTGTTACTATGTCTTTCCTGGAGCAGCCCATAACAGATTTGAACATTCGCTTGGGTGAGAATATCTTGTGAAATTACAAGGAATTTTTTACTGAAAAATATTTAGTGAAATTTAGTATTGACGATCATTTCAAGCCCCTTTGGTGCGGTAAGTAAAACTTTCTAAAAGATAACGGATATCCCTATTTTGGTTTTAGAAGAGATTATCAGTTGGTAATGTTAACTACATGATAATCGAATTGTCTGAATGCTTCTTTGAATACTAGCGAGAAACCGGCATGCATTGCAATGCCACTCAAAGAAAAATGTGTTTGCGTTTTACTTACGTTTTTGAAGTAATTTTTAAATAGAAAATATGTTTTTCTTTTTTCCATCTTGAACGAACAGGCAACATACAGCTGTCCACGTGAAAAGCAAGGATTTTCATAATTAGTCCACATACTTGTAGCGATTGATCTACCCATGCAGCAGCTCTGTTTAGAATTATATTTACATTGCTCACAAAATTGCTCACAAAATGTTGTTTTTTTTTAAATGAAGAACCGGGCCCTAAACATCAAATTGTAAGAGGGTTGAACCATTCAAAAACATTATTATTATCTTACACAAACTGAAATATCCCATGTATTTTATTTAATTCCTTCCACAAATGAAATAGCTCTGAGTAAAATTATAGGTTTATTGCTCCTTTAAGATAAAAATAATAATTTGCTGGCTTGAGAACAAAAAAGTACCTAACTCTTAGCACAATCGATATAAGAAAGCATACGGAAATTATATTTAGCTCATGACAGTATGACAGAAAAAAGAATTTAGGCCTCAAACCCAAAACAGAATATCGTAAAATGTGTTTAATTATTCAGTAAAATTTACGGGCGTTTGCACAGCAACTCACAAAAGTTTTATCGCAATCTGATCAATGGTACCACCAATCCCACAATCCATTCGTCTGTATTTCGATCCCTCCCTCCCTCTCTCCTTCCCTCCAATCGTCCATCACTCCAAAGATCCATCCCTCCCTTCCTCAATCCCTCCCTCCCTCCATCCATCCATCCATCTATATATCTATCTATCTATCTATCGATCTATCTATCTATCTATCTATCTATCTATCTATCTATCTATCTATCTATCTATCTATCTATCTATCTATCTATCTATCTATCTATCTATCTATCTATCTATCTATCTATCTATCTATCTATCTATCTATCTATCTATCTATCTCTCTATCTCTCTATCTCTCTATCTCTCTATCTCTCTATCTATCTATCTATCTATCTATCTATCTATATATCTATCTATCTATCTATCTATCTATCAATTTGTCTATTTACCTATCTATCTATATGTCTATTGATATATCTATTTATATATGTTTCTATTTATCTGTCTATCTGTCTATTCATCTATTATCTCAGAAAGTCTTAACTCAATTCTATTTTGAAAATTGAATTTTGCTTGTTAATTTGTGAAATTAGAAAATATCGCGTCTAATTTAACAACTGTAACAACATTGAATTTAAAGAAATTATCATCCACGTAAAATTATACAAACCTATTTCCTAACCCATCATATATATGTACCTAAAAATGTTAATTATTTTTCAAAATTCATTGTTAGGCGTTTCGTATGCAGTCTTCGGCAAATGAAAGTATCGTATTACTCACCCTCCTCCCAGCAGAGTTTTAAAGAAATTAATAAAATTATCAACTGGATTTTGACGCCCTTACCTACGAAAAAAGAAAATTGTGCAATTCACTTACTTTATTCTCATTTGGTTGAGTGATAATTACATTAGCGAATGCTATTTCGATATGTAGTTTCGCTGCACTGATTTTATTAAATGGAATTTACGTATTAAAGGTATATTTAAAGGCTACGTTTTTCACAAATATATAATTTTCATTAAAGTATTTAATTTTAAAAGAATAAAAGTAAAAACTTATTAAATGTTAAAAATTCAAAGCTAAAGTTATATTTAATCTTATAAAATTTTTAGCAATTTCAAAAGCAATTTATTATGTTTTAATTTTACTTTTAAGAAGGGAAAAAAAACAGTATCAGTTTTGACACGCACGATTATAAAATATTTAAAAAAACTTAGAGCTGTGGCTAAAATAGGCAATCACGCTATGAGGTCATTTGCGTAATTATTTAGATCAAATTAATTATATTTTTTATTTCGCCATATTAACAACGCACTGAAATACGCACTAAGAAAAAACAGATTATTGGGTTTTCCCGATAAATGTGATTAAGATGCAATTCTTAGATCATACTATTTGGATTTTTTTTTTTTTATATAACTTTTAAATTCGGATAAAATGCTTAAAATAATTCCTTTGTTGTTGCTTAAATATATTTTGTAATTTATAAAAATAATACTTAAATTTGTCGCTAAAATTATAGTGAAAATTTAATATTTTTTTGCGCATGCAAATTTGTTTGATTTCCGTAAAATAATAGAAAAAATAACTATAATTAATTTTGAGAATCCGAACTTATCAAAATATATTCGGATTTTTAGCGTCATGTGACTCTAGCTAATTCTTATATATATATATATATTTATGTATATAAGATCATATATTATATCATATATAAATATACTAGCCAATATACCCGGCTTGCATGGGATTACGTTAGGACCCCGTTTATGGTAAGACGCCAATCCCAATGAGACCCCAATCTCATTTTGACCCTGATGCCGGCGCAATTTCTTTTCCCGGTGTGATTCCGTTACCGGTAAGATCCCGTTTTCTTGTTGCTCCGCATCCAGGTCCCGATGAAAACCCCACCCCGTCAGTGTCTTGATCCAAGTGGTATCCCGATGGATTACTGATCCCGTTAGAATACTGTTCTCTATGGGATCCCATTCCATTTCGGGACTCTCTTTTCCGATGTCATCCCTTTTCCCGAAAGAATCCCGATCCTGGTTTGATCGCGTTTCCTAAAGTGATCGTGTAACCGATGGGATCCAGTTTACTTATGGATCTCGTTCCCCATTAGGATCCTGTTACTCTATGGAATCATGCTCAAAGCTAATTTGTTCAAATAAGCTTTTAGATAGCATTATATATCTCAATAGAACATTAAATAGCCTTCTGGAAGATTCCAGATTAAATTAATACCCTCCATTAAAAACGGGTAAAAATTACTTATCTGCGTAATTATTTCTGGAATATGAAATATTATACAACTCAATTGAACTGCTATAACTATAATAAATTAAAATTGAAATAGGGGCCCCAGTGGGGGCCTATTTAATAAAATATCGTTTTAATTATATCTGAGAAGTGTGGGGCGCTATTAACATCATTGAGATAAATTATAGAGATACAATTTAAAGGCTGTCTCATTAAAATCGGTTTAAAAGTGCCAAAGATATCGCTTTTTTCAATTATCGAACGGTCTAGGAAATACTTGATCGGCCTGCAGGGATTGGATACTCTTAGTTTTAAGCTCACCAATTTTTCAAGAAGATCGATGAAGTGTATGGATACCAAGCTTGGCGTATATCCATAACTCACATAGAATCTACAGTTTTCAATAATAGGGCTATTGATATTTATATAGCTTTAAAAAATGAAATGGGGCCCCTGGCCCAATGAAGAATGGATAGTATGGGATCATTACCCTTCGTTATTTGAATATGGATAATCAAGTATGTGTAGTAAGTGTTGTCAAGAGCTATCTATTTATGTAGAAGTATTAATCCTACTAATATGTATAAGGCTTATAGTAGAAATAACTTCCGGTTAGATGGGATTCGTGTACATGTTTTTTTTTTTCATGAAGAATATTTCTTTGACTATGACATTATTAGCCAAGTAAATCCTCAACAAACTGTGATTTATCAACTGAAATGTCACATTGCTGGTCAAGGGATGACCCAAAAGTCACTGTCTTCAATATGCTTAGCTATTTATGTGATTTCGGGGCTTGTACTGCATTGTTGATATTCGGCGCCATGTTTGTTACATTTTCCTGTCTTACTTGAAGCGTAGCAAAACTCTATTCCTGTGTGTGCTCTTAGACTGAAACACACGGAGTGACTTTTCGTATGCACAATAACAATATTACACTATATATATAGCTTCGGGTAGATGCGACTCGTAAACCATGGCCGGTAGCTCATATAGGAGAGGGAAACTCTGACTCCAAACCTCCGCTGCCTTGCGGCTATACCCACACGGGAAAGGCTAAGGGAGTAAACCCCGACAGAAAATCAGGATGCGGTGCTCCTAAGGCGTCTGTTTTTTAAATCAATTGCATTCCGGCAGCTCCTGCGACGCCAATGGTGCCCAGCCGTATCGACACTAGTTGATCACTTGGGTCCACAGTATATAGAATTGCTGTATTTTAAAAAAAAAATTGGTAACATTATTATTACTAAACATTAAATATCTTATTTGGAATGTTTTCGAGATCCGATTAGGTTAAATTAAAAAAAAAATGGTACAATTTAAATGCTCCGATCGGTGATGTGTGTCTTTGATGACAAGCTAAACAATGCTTAAATTCCAGGAAAATGGAAAATTGACTATTTAAAAGTTGATACCGATTGAATGTGGATAGTAAACAGGCATGTTTAGATCCAAGTAAGTTCGGTTGGCTAAAAAAAAGTGCTTAAGTCCTTTATATCAATGTTCAAAATAAAACTCCAAAAAAATGGGGTAGGGAATGTTCACCTTTTTCGTAAAGTGTGTGAGGGACTCTTAAATAAAGTGGTTAAGTTATTTTTCGCGGTGCGCAGACCGTGTGCGAAAGTGAGTTTTCAATTATATAACTCGTGCGGTTTATCTTTCGGTTGAAAGTCTCGTTAAATGTTTGGTTTCGTCTCCGTTTCATTTTGGTAGGAAAATTATATATTTTTTTTCTTCCGGTCTGTTTTCTGTCTGTCTCTAAACAATTCAAAATCGAAGAGAATTAATAAGTGTGAAATACTTGAGAAATCACTTAGCAGACCTCGAAAACCAAGATGCACACGTGGAAATCAAGTATTACCAGTAAAAGATAGTCTCCATGATAATGAAAGAATTCATTCGATAAATTTAGAAGAATGCATACAAATGAACGAGCAAAAAGTCATAACGAGTGTAAATTCCCACAAACTTAAAATGGAAAATTCAATTTGTTTATTTACTTCTTTACGTTTTATATTTTAAATGCAGAGTTTACCATCTGGCTGGAACTTTTGCACGGATTCTCCAGCAGAATCAGCCAGAATTATGCATCACTGAAATTGACATCTTATGCGTTGAGATTGCGGGCCTATGTCATGACCTTGGTAAGATAGATAAACTCTAAAGTACAGTTGCTATTTCCTGTTTTCCTCCCAAGTGCTTCCTAAACAAATATTTTTAATCGATGAACAGGCTCATACATTTTCCTAACTTATTAAGAGTAAAAATCGTCAAAATAGATTTTATAAGTCTTTTGGAACTATTATTGGTATGGAATAGAGAAACTTATCTGGTTACTACATTAATAAAAGCATCGTGAAGAGAAAGCTGCGATACAGTTTAGCAAAAACAAATAATATACACACCGTAGGGATTAAGCAGAAAAGACACAAGAATACTGAAATATTTCGTAATAAAACAATATTTACTCAAAAAATTAGCAGATTTTTTTTTTTTTTAAGTTTTAAAAGGAACTGATGTTAAAGATAAAAAATCAACGTAAAATCTGTTTGAAAATCACAAACAGTTAATGAACTATGTTTGTTTTGGAAATACAAGAAAGCTATATATTTTTTTTAATTTTAAGAAGATGGCTGACACGCTTATTTACGAATGCTGAAATTATTCAAAAAAACAAATTCAATGTGCGAAGCTAGGGTAAGAATGCGGCAGTTAACCCAAACTGTAAAATTCCGAGATGCAGCCCTGAAGTCGATCTTACGATAATAACAATGTTATTTCGTCAACTCCTTTGATGCAGTCAGTGCAAAGCTGTATTGTCAATTGTCATCCCCTTTGATCCACTGATTGTGTGGAGAGAGGGAGATCTGCTGCATTGGGCGACATCTGGTCTCCATAAATCATCGCCCTGGCTATGTAGCTGTACTGGTGACGTTATTTTACGAGAGGAAAGGTTTTTTGCCTAGTGAGCAATTCGTCAAAGTGTAGGACTACATTGGTACTCCATCGTCTCGCGAAGACGAAAGATTGCCATATTATTTTTTTTTTTTTAAATTTTAAATTTTTATATATAAGAATAGTGGTGGAAAATGTATTTTAACACTACTGCTTGGTTCCAATCCCCTGTATTTAAATTCCTCCAGCTGCTATTGCATTTTATGAAAATCCCTAACAAGTACCCGGCATGTTTTGAAATGCAACTCAAAGAAAGTGTTTGTGTTTTAATTATGTTTCCAGATGATGCCAGTGGCAATGCAACATTTTTTCGTGATCTTATCGTTGCCAAAATAAGTAAACTTGGAAAAAGTTGTGCCTGTGCAATTTTATGTTAGAAATATAATCCATCGCTTTTTGCTTATAATTGCCTGCATTTATCACTCATGCAATATGCATGAATCTGGTATAAAATTCAGAAGATATGTTTGAATAAATGAACCCTATTTGTCAATGGCTAAAAACTTAAAATGGTATCCAAAAGTCGCTCAAATGGGACAGGTGGACGTACAAGATGTATCGGAGATTCCACATACCTTTAAAGCGAACAATTTCTTCTTGTGGGTGTATTTAATTTTGTTTCTTTCTCTTATTTATATATGCAATTGGTGCAATTATTATTTCATATAATATAATTTAAGGTGTTTAAAAATTCGTAGTAAGAGGACGAGTGCTTTGGCAGCCAATTTGCCTAAATGAACAGAAGTATATAAATGCAAATATTTTTTGGCAAATATATGTAATAATTTTTGCGATTAAATGTTCATATTTTTATTATAGATGCGTATGCTCTTAAAAAAAAGGAAATACGCATCAGTTTGTTTGAAAGAGTGATAATCTTTTAGATATGTATGTTTTATAAAACATTATTGAGGTTATTAGTAAAACACCTTGTTTCGTATATTCCATTTTTAGGACATGGCCCATTTTCACATGTTTTTGATGATAAATTTCTTACAAAAATCAATCCAAAAAATAAAATTAAGGTAAAGAATTATATCAATTTTTAACTAAACATAATAATTGTTGTTTAATGATTTTTACATTAACTTATTTTTATCAAGAAAACAATCTAATTTAAGTTTCTTTAAATAGCTAAATTTAGCATCGAGTAACAAATCCAAATAATCCATTTATTTTTTTTTGCTACTCTTTCAGCATGAAAAGGCTGCTGTCACAATGTTTGAAGAGCTGATTATAGCAAACTCTTTAAAAAACAAATTTATTGAGTTTGGTCTCAAAGATGATGACATCATTTTCATAAAAGAACAGATTGGAGGTCCCTTGAAGACCACAGGCAAAGCAGTGTGTCAATCATTTCGTATTTTCAATTAACACTTTAAAATATTATTTTTTCTATTTTGTTAGTTAATATTTTATCAACGTGTGAATTCAAGGCATTAGAAAGTAATTTAAAAAATGAAATTTGAGAAAATATTTTAAGATTTTAAATATTTAAAACACTTCCCTAATTTTAAATGTGTTTAACCCTTTGGCTGGAAAAAAAGCAATATTTATAAATAACGGAAACATGTAAAGATAAAAGAAAAAAAAATAAACATATGATTTTATAACAAAATAATATTGTAAGATCATTTATATTTTTTAACATATTACTATAAATATGAATATGTTCACTAACTTTACTAACATTTTATTTAAATATGATTTTTTAAAAAAAAAAGGATTATAATTCATTGACATTTGACAGGACTGGCCATATAAAGGACGGAAGGAAGATAAAGCATTTCTTTATGAGGTAAGAGTTTTTTGGTTACACATTTATTCGTATTTTCCTGAATTTTGTAAGTGTACATCATTACATGTAAGCAAGTTTTATTTATCTTTACAAGTTTTTTTTTCATTTCTCAAAAAAAAATTAATGCGTTCCTCCTTGTGAATTGTTACAGTAATAAGAAATAATGAACATGATAATAGTAATAGCTAACTGGAATCTAGAAACATTGTGTGCGTGCGCATAACATTTCGCCAAAGTGTTATTGCAATCTGACAAATTGTGTCGGAACGAATACGAAAATAATTTATTTTTTTTAAAAATCAAATAAAATAATTTAGGGCTGCGGTCTTAAAAAAGAATACCGTAAAATGATTGTACTATTTCAAAAACCTTTGACGTCGTGTTAAAAAAAAAACCAACAATGTTTATCTTAGATAATGTAAGGGTACATAAGGGTTCATACTTGACATATATATATATTATATACATATATACTAGCCAATATACCCGGCACGGAAATGAATTAGGACCCCGATCCTGATGTGACCCCGATCCCATTGGAGCCCTAATCCTATTCTGACACTGAACCCGGTGAAGTCCCGTTTCCGAATGGTATCACGATCCCAGTGGATCCATTCAAGATTGAGATCCCGTTCCCAAAGGAATCACATTTTTTTGTGGGATCCTGATCCAGTTTGGATAAAGATTATGGTGGGATCCCGAACCCTTTGTGATCCGTATAAAAAAAAAATTACTCAGATTTATCGAGAGATCCGTGAACTCCGGGGCTTTATAGATATGAATAGAACTAACATTTCATTAATCCCATAGATCCCACTTTATGTAGGCCTATTCCTTTGAAACAGTATTAGAACTTTCTGGAACATTCTAGGTTAAATTTAATAACCTGCTGAAAACATGTGTAAAAACTACTTTTCTAAATATTTTTTTTCAATACGATAAAAATCCTTAACAAATTACATAATTATAATTTTTTTTCTTTGAAGTTAATCAAGGAGCCCCTCGGCCCCATTCCATGACTGTATTGATTTAGTTATGACTGACAAATAATAAAGTTAAGATTATAAATTTTTACCATTAAAATCAGTTCAAAACTGCCATGGATATAGCTTTTAAAAAATTATGGAAATTTCTGGAAAATTCTAGATTGGATATTCTTAGTTTTAAATACACCGATATTTCACTACTGACAATGAAGGGCCTGGCTACAAGGCTAGGCATATATCCATCAATTCATATAGTCATATAGAACATAATGTGTTGTTTAAGCCTTTTGATATTTATAAAGCTTAAATAAGGAAAAATAAAATGGAGCCCCCATCCCCAGAAGAATTGACATTATGAGTTCAGTACCCTTAAGTATTTCAATATGGATAATCAAGTATATGTGTATTAAGTTTGGTCGAGATCCATCCATTCCTGTAGGAGTATTTGTTGTTAATTGTATTTATATATAGCATATTAGATTTTAAAAAAAAAACGAATTCGGGGCCCCCGGCCCCAAAGGAAATGTTATAAAATGTTCATAACCCCTTAACAGTTCCTTCTCGATTATTATGGATAAATGTGCCAAGTTTGGTCAAGATCCATCAGTCCATGTAAAAGCCTTGTGGAACAAACCCACAAACAAACCCACAAACATTCACTTATATATATATATATATAATGTCTCTATGCATTTATGTATGTCTCTTTATGATAATATAACACCATTTGTAGTGTGTCTGTCATCGGCGTAGTTACTTTTTATTAAGTTTTGTTTGTTTAGAGAATAATTGTGTTTCTGTATTCCACGCATGGACTAGTGCAATGATCTCATGATGGGTCTTCCTACTACGCTCCTACATAAAATTCAAAAAGAACAAAATAATGCGGCTCACATTGTTCTTTTCGCAAACTCAAATTCGACCATGCTAAAATACATCTGAGAGAATTGCAATGGCTACCGGTCCGCGCTCGCATAGAGTACAAACAAGCCACTCTGTGCTACCGCTGCATGCATGATATGGCACCGTCCTATCTCAAAACGCTCGTGATGCCTTAAGTACCCACTAGACAACTCCGCTCAACCGATAGCGGCAAACTCTCGATACCACGTGTTCGCATCTAGACTTACGGAGGCGCACGTTCGCATTTCCTTGCCCAAAAATTTAGAAACACACTTCATGTGGCTTTCACAACAATTTTGACTCTGCTCTCAGAAAAAGCAAAACACTGGAGATTTTTAAAATCGATTTTAAACATATCTGTTTCGCAAACACCTGCTGGGTTGACTTTGTACCGCGCTTTGAGTCTTTGGGGTTGAAGCGGAATTTTCAAATAAACTTTTTTATTATCATTATTATTTTTATTATTATTATTATATTGTATTGGCGACGTATTTGGATATAAAATGCTCAATTAAAAAAAAACGCAATTGTATTGTCGAATCGGGAAAACCGAACGTAAATTAATTTTAGGATGATATTTTTGAGAGAATGACGAAATAATGTGCCACGAAGCAGAATTAACGCTCCTTATTACAGAGAAAAAATACTGCATTTTTCACAGTGCAGATCGTGCATTCGAAAGTGCAATCTTACTAAATGTGTACATTGTTTGTAGAATCTATGACCCAATGTGATACTCGTTGCTTTTTTTGCATATAGGGATTATGAGTGGATCTTACCTCTCATAAAAATATGTTGGTTAAGTAAAGGTGTCCAGGCTTAAATGATTTTCATCCCATTTTGTCATTTGTAATGGAAACTTAAACAGTTCCTAAAATAACTCATCAATTTATAATTGATCATTGTGAAATTGTTTTCAAAACAAATAACTCAATAAGAGATAAAGACTATGTTGTCATTTACAGATTCTTGACAAATAACATTTTTAGAACGTTAAATAAAATTGTGTTGCCTGCAACTTTCATAGCGACTAAGACATATGCTCAAAATCCCCAAAATGCTATGACCATGGTAAGGAAAAACGGCAAACCAGATTTATTTGTAACATTCACGTGCAATCCGAAATAGAGGAAAAATCAGTATAAATGTCATCACCGGAAAGCAACTTTGCTACAAGACTGATTTAGTAGCAACAGTCTTTGAGTTGAAACCGTAAATTTTCTGAAGACTTTATCAAATACTGAAGGTTTGGAAGTGTTAAGGATATGCTGCTTAACATGATCGAGCTCAAAACAGGTCCAACACTGGATCATATAGCTATTCATGACCCAGAAAGACAAAGACTGAAAGAAATAATTAATTGAGAAATGCAGTTTTGCAGAGCTCCCTGATAAACCTAACCACCAGAAGCTACAACAAATTGTAATATCATGCATGATGCACAGTTAATGTGATGAATTCAGTCAAAAAGCACCGTGTATGGAAAGCGATTAATTCAAACAATGTTAATAAGATATGTTTTTTAAGGCAAAGAGTAATGTTATTGGTTACCCAAAATATAAATAATGAGATGCGTTAATTGCCTCTACAAATACGTTTACAATAGCATGACTGTGCAGATATTCAATTCGTTAATGTTCCCACAAAACTGTAGCTACTTTTAGATAAGCCATAGAAAGATGTTACTTGAACCGATATGTAAGTTCACCTAAAACATGCTTGAGGCTTTTGGATACAAAATGCACCAACACACCATTGATATTATAATATTACATGTTCATCCTGTGGAAAATATTACACTATATTGTGTACTAGGCACAGAAGCCACCGCTATACAGCAAAAAATGACCAAAGTCTAAAAATGTGTCTTTTTGAATTTAAACAAATAAATCTTCTGCCCAAAAGTATGTATATATTGAGAATGGCGAACACTATACCGGTGAAGACAAATATTTAAATGGAAATACAAACTTAGAAGACATAAACTGCAATCGACAATTTTTTGCTACGAATTATCATTTCAGTATTATTATTATACGTTGTTTTATATTGCGTGGTACCCCAGCCTAAGGCTCGGCCCACCACGCATTACCTACACTTTAACAAACATAATAAACCATACAAATTTTTAAAAAATACATGCTTTAATTAAATAAAACAAAAAAAAAATGGATGTTTCAAACTATTTACATGTCAAGCCATTGACGACACCCAGCAGCATCATTTTTCGGTAAGATATGGGAATCTAAGTGTTAGAGGAGTAGCATCCTTTAAGAACCCGAAAACGAGAAAAAGGGCCCCTATCCGTTTTGCAACGCTCCAATAAGCATACATTGCACTGGGATTAACTGACGACTTCTCAGAAAAGGATACTGGGCTAACTGAAGCTACAAATTTAAATTCAACCATGTATGATGAGTTATCAATGAGATACAGCAGCATTATTCGACATGCATAATGCAATTCTTTTGGAAGACTCTAAGAGACGTTTTCTGTATTGAGAAAAAAAGCTCACTATTTTATACTTTAAATAAAGTGAATCTATTTTTTGAAGAATTTGAACGTTTTTGGCAGACTTTGGTTTTAAAATTCCAGACTTTAACTATGCCTCATTGATTATTGCTGGAATATACTAAGATTCAAACAGTTTAAGAGAAAATTTAAAATCTTAATTTTGGGAAATGATGGGATCGAAAAAAATTCTGGAAAAGATTTAAAAGCACAACGTACCCAAAGATCTATTAATTATTGATGGTTACGCTAACCACTTAAAGGCGTGAAATACTTTCATTAACTATAAATCACTACATGCACAATAAAACACTCAATTGAGTGAGCAAAAATTACTAGATAATATCAGAAGTCAACAATAATATCGTCCTTTTAACAAACATTGAGTATGTTTGCTATGTTTGCCTAGGACCGGAGCTTTTCACGATGTACATTCAGCCCCTGGGTGCAGAGATCAAGCAGTTTGACATGCAATACCACAAGTTCGCAGACGACACCCAAATTCATCAATCCGTGATCCCCTCTCAGTTCCCTCAGTATGACACAGAGGACAGTAGTTAAGCACTGGATGACCATAAACAAGCTCAAATTCAATGATGATGAGGCTGAGCTGATCCCCATTGCTATCGCTCAGAAGCAAAAATCTGCAAAAAACACAACATCACTCACTCTCTGAGGTGTGCGTATTGAGTGAGCTCAAACAGTGCACTACCTTTGTGTCCGCCTAGATAGAACACTAACTTTGGAAAGTCACATTAACATGTTATGCAAAGTGATTTTTCTAGAACCGTGCAGGATTAGTCACATTAGACCCTTCTTAACAATTGATGAAACAAAGAGGCTGATGACTGCATTTGTGCTATCACGCATGGACTATTGCAATGCTCTCCAGGTGGGTTTTCGAGCGACACTCCTGGATAAAATTCAAATAGCACAGAATAATGCGGCTCGCATTGTTCTCCGCAAACGCAAGTTGGACCATGCAAAAACACTTCTGAGAGAGTTGGACTGGCTGCCGGTGCGTGCTCGCATAGAGTACACAATCGCAACTTTGTGCTACCGCTGTTTACATAGCTTGGCACCGTCCTATCTCAAATAGCTGCTGACGCCTTATGTACCCACTAGAGAGCTCCGCTCATCCGATATTGGCAAACTCTCCACACCACGTGTTTGCCTTGAGATTTACGGAAAGCGCACTTTCGCATTAGCCGGTCAAACAATTTGGAACGCCCTTTCTGTCGCGCTCAGAAACAACCAGACACTGAGAGTCCTTCAAAACCGATTTAAAGACACATCTATTTCGCTTACACCTTCTTAGATGATGTTGTCTACCACATTTTTCAGTTAATGCAAATTAGTTTTTTGTAGTGTTGAGTTTGTCTTAAATGTGGTAAATTATAGCTGTGGTTGACTTTGTACCGCACTTCGAGCCTTTGGAGATGAAGCGTGTCTTTCAAATGAAATGTATTATTATTATTATTTATATCCAAACAGAGGTTTATATGGATTGTAGTGGATATACGAAATTATAACCTCAAATTAAAGTGTTGCTTCTGAAACATCGCCCACTTTATTCTCGTTTTTAGATTGTGTGCAATCAACGTAATGGAATAGATGTAAACAAATGGGATTATTTGGCAAGAGATTGTCACCATCTTGGCTTTCACAACAATTTTGACTACGCCCGATATATGATGTTTGCTCGCGTAATCGAAGAAGATGGTGAACTGCAGATCTGCATACGTGATAAAGTAACATTATACATATATATTTATATATATAATATATATATATATAGATAAATATATATATATTTATACACACACAAACACAAAAACAAACACACACAGATATATATATATATATATATATATATATATATATATATATATATATATATATATATATATATATATAAGTATATATATTCGTGTGTGTGAGTGTGTAAGGGTGTATGCGTGTGTGACTGTGTTTGTGTGTATATAATATTTTTGTTGAAACTTTCTTTCAGTATACATATTTTTTAAAAATAAATGTCTGGTTTTCGCTGATGGATATCATTTAAAGTAATAAAATACCCGTCGGAAAACTATGTGATAGGAATGGTGAAGGGAGTTGCACTGTAATACCTTGGCAGTTTTGTTAAAAAGTAATAAAACATTTCCTTAAGAAAGTTAGATTTAGAAAAAATAAAATAGATGTAAAAAATGATTGAATAAAAGTACACAATTAATTGAAATGTGACTCCCCAAATTTTAACTTTAAATCTTTTTATCTACTAAGTCTAAGTGTTTTCAACTTGACAGCACTCGTCTTAAAATGTTTAGCATAAACTAAGATTTACGATTTACGATATAGCATATTATTATTACCCACCCACTTTTATTCCATATACTTATATGACCAATTATCAAAGACAATTTGAAAAAAAAAATATTTTTCCCAAGGAGATAGCAAACTTGTATAACATGTTCTACACTCGCTACACCCTTGATAGATATGCATATCAACACAAAGTTAACTGTGGTCTGGAAATCATGTAAGAATCTGTTTGTTTTCTGATTAAAATAAATTTTAATTCTACTCAAATGGCGTTGAAGATAAAACTAGAAATACAAGGCTTCACACACTATTCTGTGGATATTTTATGCCATAAAAGAATTCGATTTCTTTCTCTGGGCTTCTTTGCTTAAATACAGTAGTTTATTAACAGCTTCTAAAACAACAAACAGCCTGTTGTTGAGTTATTAAGTGCTGATTTCTGGTGTAGAGTGAGAGTGCCATAGAGGTATGCCCACAGTTTTTAAATGTGTAGTGTTTTAATACTGTATATCTTGAACGCACTATGGACGCCAAAACTCCCCAAAAGGCAATTCAATGATCAAGGAAATATTGATCATTTGGCAAGCATTCTTTTTTAAAATCTGTGATTAATTCATATTACTCAACAAATTCCAACATTTGATATAAAAAGACAACCCTAACGTCTGTGACTTTGATTAGCCGAAAGACAAAACTAACTCACCTAATATTTCTACTATTTTTCTAATATTAAATGAGTAACGAAAGGAAAAAGTCGGCTGAACTCAAATAATGTTTCCCACTTTACATGAAATATAATTTTCAAACTGTAATAAACTTTTAAATTTTAATTCGACAAGATGAGCAAATGGCCGAAAAAATATTTCTCTTTTAATTGTACAAATTAATTTCATAGAAATCATGAATTTGTGATTTACAATTTAATTTTCAACAGGGTAATTGATGCACTTATTCTTGCCAATGATTATATCCAGTTCCAAGGTAAAGGCATGTAAGTAATTATTTAAAATGTTTAACATTCCTTTAGTTCAATAATCGATTAAAGAATCACCATACGCTCATAATGGAATGTATCTTAAGCGTTTACTTCAGTATCCTGTGATAATGCAGACTTTTTTTTAGCCATATTTTGTGCAGAGGAGTCTGAACTACAGGTTTTGCTTTGAGATGAAGTTATTGATACCTTTTTTTGTCATGATAGTGTAACACAATTTCTGGATCAGTTTCAAACCCTAGTAATTGAATTTATTGTTCTTTCGCATATGTTCCCAGAAAATGTGCACAGAAAATGCATTTTTATCCTATTGCAATATTACAATAGGATAACTAACCTGATTGCAGCCTCTCCCCTTATTACCCCTGCAATAGTACATGATGCTATTCAGATACTGCCTAAGGCTGAGCTCACCGCGTTGTACATAAAAATATTATCAAAAGAGACACAATCATGACATTAATATAAAATAAAATTATGAAAATAAAGAACATCATGAACCCCAGGACTTTCACAAGGCAAACCATAGACGGTAGCCAGCAAGAACATGTATCGGTCAGAGGAGGGGAATCAGTCAGGGTTGTATAGTTTAAAGAGATGTGTTTTGAGTGAAGTTATGAAGGCCTGGGTGGTTAGTATATTGTGGATGTGTAGTGGCAAAAAATCCCTCTGTTTGTGGGCAAAGAAACAGAACGATCGTTCACCATATGTTTTATTGTGTGTCTTGGGAATGGACAGAATACGCGTGTCTGCGGAGGAGCGAAGTTGTCAAAGGAGTGAATCGACAGAAAGAAGTTCAGTTGGTTAGGAAGGGCAGGAATCCAAGAAAAACTTTTGACAGAGAACAGACAACTTGTAGTTAATGGGTGCCTGTGTAGGGAGCCAATGAAGGGAATGAAGTAGTGGATTGACGTGATTACGATTCTTTGCCTTTATAACTAGCCTAGCAGCGGAGTTTTGGATATTCTGCAGTTGTTTTTTGCAGTGTTTTGTTGAACCTAAAAGAAGACAGTTGCAATAGCCACGACGAGAGAGAACAAGAGCACAGACTAGAGTTTTGTAGCACTATCTGTAAGGTATTGGCGGATGGAGCTGGTCTGACGGATAGTGGTGTATGGCGGACGATAAATGTGTGCGAAATATTTATCGAGAGCCAGGTTGTTAAAAAGAATATAACCAAGATTCCTAGCAGAGAGTGTAAACATTATGTAAGAGTTAACTACTTGAAATGAGGTGGGAAGAGTTGAGGTAGAGGATGATGTGTGATTGTGAATGATGAGTTCTTCGTTTCGACATCATTAAACTTCAACTTGCTGAGTGTCATCCATGGCTTGACATCATCAATGCACTCTTGTGAAGTCTGGACAGCGGAATCGACAAGAGAGGGATGGGTATGCTTGTATAGCTACGTGTTATCTGCAAATGAGTGGCTCTTATCAGATATATATGTGGGCGAGAATTAGCAGATGAAATGGAATCTTTAAGGCATATTCTACCAAATACCGCCAAAACCCGCAAGAAATGTTGGCTTATCAGTCCACTAATGAAGGATACACTTCTTTCCCAAACTACTTTGTTGCACTCAGAATATTTTTAACAATACCCGTAACTGTGGCATCCGGCGAAAGAAGCTTATCTTACCTCAAATTTATCAAGAATTTCTTGAGGCCAACAATTCACGAAGATATATTGAACAATTAGGCAATTATTGCTTTTGAACGTGATCATTGTAGGAAAAATAATTTTGATGATATACTGTAAGACTTAGCTACACGCAAGGCTTGTAAAATAGAGTTAATTCGATCGTGATTTTGTACTTAGTAAAGAATGAAATAAAATGCAAAAAGGAGATTATTTTGTAATAAAATCTTAATTGTTCACTTATTATCCTCATCTCTACCCAGACTGGGTCCCGCGCAATCCATAAGGCTCCGCAATTGCTAGGGCCGGTCATGCCTATACCAATGTATGATCGTTGTAACCTCATCCAAAATGCTATAGTTTTACTAAACTTTTATTTTTGCAAGCATAAACTAAAACATTGAATAAATAGGGAACAAAAATGTATTTTCCACTTCCAGATAAGAAGCATGGTTATGTTTTAGAAAATATAAACGTTGCGTTTACTTCGTTTCCTTCATTCAAGTACATTTGTTTAAGGGGGTAGATTTGCTTACATTATCGTTAATTGTTTTGTCCCTAAATCTTTTTTCTCGTACTTTCACTAACTATCATAGATTATAAAAAAGTTATGCGATTAAAAATAGATTTACTTTAACATGACTAATAAATAAATATCAAGAGTCAGAATGTAATTACTATCAGATTAACTGAATCATATATTTTAAATCAGTGTAGAAGACTAGGCTTTTTACATACAGCTTTTATTCCTAAAAGTCTACATTAGCAAGTTTGACAAATAATAACCATTTGTATTAGTCTTAGAAACTTGACTCCCAGGCCAAAATCCCGCTGTATGAATAGGAGTTCAGTTGCAGCGCCATAGGTTTCCAAAACCGAGTATTACACAATTTTTTACACTTCGTGTATAATAATATTAATGTGTGTATCTTTTATTTTGAGTGTTATAATATTTCATTTTATTGCGAGGTTAGTTGACACAGTGTATTTATATAAAATAAATTTTGTATTTATAATATAAATTATTAGAATAATTAAATTATCAATTGTTAGCATCACTAGATTCGGAATCGTTTCGTTTTTCTTTACATTTTTGTTTTCGGTCCTTTTTTTTTTACGTCGTTTTGATGTGAAAGAAACAAATCGCCACCCTAAAATAACAAGGTTCTAAGTTATTTGGATTAAATAGGCACATAGAACCTTGTTATTCTAGGGGGTGGAAATTTCAAAAGCATACGGAACAATTACTGATGTCTTATCACTCATGACAAACATCATCACTTTACTCAAATGGTTATTTACTTTTGGATATGAGAGTTTAGGATACATTTATTTTAAAAACAGATGTCTAGAAAATAAAATGACAATATGGAACGAATGAGGGAAGGTGGGATGTGTAAAGAAAAAATGACATTAAAAAGAAACATCCATTATTTACAAGTCAACTTTCATTGGACATCTCAACATTAACTTGTTTTTTTTCAAATTTATGATTAAGTTTTTACAACATGTAAATTAACATAATCACTATGATTAACAGGAAATTCTTGAAGATTTCTGAGTGTATAACGGATATGACAGCATACACTGAACTCAACGACAATGTCCTCTTCAAAATTTTATATTTTGACAATGAAGATGAAATCGTCTCACAGACATTAAACCCAGAATCGGTTCATAGCCCATCTCTCTTTACACCTGAACAAAAGGATGAATGGGACGTAGTGGAGGAGAGTGATAATGAAGAGTTTTTAATGGAGGACAGTGCAACAAGTGTTAGCGCCTCTGCTACGGACGATACTGAGTCAACACAACTCACCCCTATGTCACAAAGAGAACGAACATTAAAACAAGCCAAGAAAATAATCGAAAGAATTTTCAAAAGAAAGCTTTACACTTGCGTCTTTGAAAGTGGTCCAGTTAGTGCAAAAGACATCAATAATCAAAAAGATGTATGTTATTAAATAATAGATAATGAGATGACAAATACCGAGATAAAAATATAAATTTTGTATTTGATAAAGAGTGCGTGTGTTTATTAGCAATAAGTATATTTTAAAAAAATAATAAAAGGACATTGCCTAATGGAAAAAAAAAATTGTAGCTATATCAACACTAGACTTAACTAGCGTAAATTGTGAATTATTTCAAATTGTTAAGCTTTTTGTTTTGAGTTAAGGCTTCTCAATTCAATACAAGTAAACAAATCAATTGTTTTTAAAGACTAAACTGATCTTTCTTTTATTTCAGCTTAATATAAAGGATATTGAAGAGAACATTCTATTAAAAGCAAGAAAAGAGTGTAAAGAAATCAATGAAATGGACTTTGTTGTATCGGTAAAAAAATATATTTACTTAAGATTGTATTTAGCTAAATTTTCTATACAGTTGTTAAAATCAATATATTTGGCAAAGTTGAAACAATTTAAACTGCAATTTAAAGACAAAAAATTATGAACTACTTGTAAGTACCTCTTAGCGTTGCAATGCCACCAGAATAAAGAATGAACTTATATTTTAACGACGTTTTATTCAAGTGCTTTTAAATTCACAATATTTTTTTTCCGCTTGGTGCGTACATTTAATAACTTAGAAAGATTTGTGACGCATGAGTAGCCCACATACAGCTGTCCATGTAAGAGACATTTTTTTTTTCTAATTCAGTCAACACACTTGTATGAAATGTTCATATTATTTGTTAATGTTCGTTGTAAATGCAAGTGGCACTTGAAACTGCAGACATTTGAATTCAAATTGCATAATGTTGTGAAACATTGGGATGCGTTGAAACATTTAAATTTCCGATCCTGTCCATTATCTTTTTCACTGAAAGCTTGTTACCATTGCAAAGAAGTGGTTGATTTATGTTTCGGGAAGTAAAGATAGGCACTCATATTTTCGATGTTAAAATGTACAACGACATAACTGGAAAATCAAGTGAATTTAACATTTCAGTTTGATAATAGACAACTTTTAAATTATTTATTAGAGTATCAATAGAATTATACATTAAACGATAACGCTGTGCATTGCATTTCTATTTGAATTCTGAAATTGATGGTATTGACATTGTTGTTTTGTGTTGCTAGTATGGCACATGCATTGCGCCACTGATGTAATTCTGTGTGATATTTGAACAAAGCTTTTTGAATCAATTTGTCGGTGTTTGCTGCGATTTTACATAATCTATTGGGCAATGTGATAAGTTGTATGGATTCATCAATTGCCCTTTTACCATTCCGAATAGCCGCCAATTGTTTTGCGAAATGTTCAGCAGATACATCATGTTGTGATTGTAAGTGCAAATTGGTCTTCAAATTCTATTTCTGTGCGTATCGCCTTAAAAATGATGATTTAGGACATGCAATTAATTCATCAGTACCTTTCTGAACGTGGTATAAGTTGTAAAATTTGTAGAAAATTACTGGACAATAAAATAAGTGGGCCACCGAAGAACTGTAAATTTCCTCTAAAATAATTTAGTGTACGATGAGGTGTTTCCTATGATTTTTGTGCACCTTAATAAATCAGTCCAATATAATGAGTTGATATGATTTGGGTGCGTTATTCATTACATAGTTTTTATTAATATTACATGTTGGTGCCTCAGTGATTTGAAAAATCAACAGCAATTTCAGTGCTGAATGCGCTATTTGACCACCATCCAGAAGAGTTGCTGCAAATCTAGATAGCGTCTCAACATTAACATTTTTCAAATATATGATAAAGTATTTAAAACAAATCAACTTACAGAAAATGTTAGTGCAATACGTTATCGTGATCATATGGTTGCCAAATAAATTAAATGAGAAAAGATTTGCTTGCGCATATAACAAATATGAACATGCGCTTTGGTTTGCAAAATTATGTCACAATCTAGTCTTTGTTCTGGAACCAATTTTGGAAGACTATTTTGAAAAATGTACATGATTCGTCAATATCAATGTGCATTTCTCTTGTAAATCACCATGAAAAACAGATTGTTTGTAGCTCAATTGAGAGCAGTCATTTCCAATTGAATCAGTTCTTTATTAGTGATTGCAAAACATATTCCTTCATATGAAACGAATGCCTTATTAAAACCGTATGTTGTTAATCGCATTTGCATTCATTACACACACACACACGATTTAGGATGTCTTCACTCATGAGTCTTTGTATTTCCCCAAACAGCTTTTGGATTGGATGGGAAACACGTTATCAATTTGATTGCAAGCAAAGTTTGTATTTTTTGTGATTGAGCAATATTTTATGCATTAGATGGACCAGAGTCCAATTGTGCATCGTTTTCCAGAAGTTTTAATACTTGGCAAGTTTTACAATAAGTGGCATATACTTGGCGGTTTAGTGCTCTAAGTTCATGAAAGGATGTCTGTCAACGTATGCTCATAACAGTAATCAAAATTAAAAAGCAGTTAGCATTATTAGTGTGAACAGTATATAGACGACGTAATACGTCTGTAAAGTTTAAATTGCAATGCCCTTCAACATTTTTATTTTTGCAGCCTTGAATCTTGTTTACTGATATATTTCATATGTAGTATTGTTGCACTTCAGTGTAAAGTAGCGCGTTGCAAACATATCATTACCACACAACAAGAAAATGCCGTTAACTTTTTAACGATGTAGACAATTCTTTTACATGTTCATTTTCTATTGTTAAGTACACGGGCTGTCAATTTTCAAGGCGCATTACCAAATGAACAACCGTTGGATGTCTTTCATGGATTAGACTTGATAAAATGCACTTTACTGCTTCGTTGATGATAATGGGGCATCCACTCTTATACTGGAATATCTTTTCGATGGATGCAGTTGCATTTACAATTCCAAGAATGGCCATATCGCTTCATGTGTTAGCATATTTGCAAATGTACTTGATCGATTTCACCGAATTGTAAAACTAATCTCTGATTTGAGTTTCTTACTTTTTCGAGATTTACGGTGAATAAAGTACATCCCAACGTATATTGACATCGAGATTATTGTTTCGAACAGTTAAAGTGATAGATTGGCTACCTTCTTCAGTTGATCTCCGACACTAAGTTTGCTATCCGTCATTGCCTCCGCAAGTAAGGCACTTGGGTATCGGTTCATGCATTTTTCATGAGACATACATGGTAAATTGTTTTTGTAAACTAACCTCACAGACCATGAACCCGTTTTTTCCGTAGTTTTTGCTCAAATTCCGCAAGTCTTATTTCTTTATCTAGTTTGTCACGTTCGTATTATCTATTTCTATCTCTCGGTTCTGTCACTTTTTATCTACACGTTCTTGATCTGTCTATCTCTAAGTTTGTACTGTCTTGTTCGGCTGTAACTTCTACATTTAAGTTTGGATGTACGTTCTATGTATCTCTGTTTAGCTATACGCTCTTGTTTTTTCTATTATGCATTAAGATCTAGCTATCTCTTTTTATCTATATACTCTTGTCATCTCTGTGTTTCCAAAACTTCTTCATCTCTCAATTTTTCTAAACGATCTTGCTCTCTCAATTTCTTCTTCTTCTTCTTTATCTTAAGGGCCCACGATCAATTTATTGATCATTTTGGCTCCTATGCATGTAGATGGAATTTGCAATGTTTCTTTTACTGGGGTTGATGACGAAATCATGCACTAGGGGTTTGAAGGCTTGAGGCAATAGACACACATGTGTCTAGTGTTGTCGCATCAACCGTTCCTTTTGAAAGATTGTTCCAGTCCCTGATTGTCTTGGGCAGGAATGAGCAGCTCCTATACTGACTTCTTGCTGGTAGGAGCCTGAATTGCCTGTGATTGCCTCGTCGCTGTCTATGGGGGAGAGGGACGAGTTTCTGTTTAATACCGGAACAGTGGACCACCCCATTATGTATCTTGTAAATCATGGAGAGCCTGGATTGTCGTCGTCGTTTCTCCAATGGTGACCAGCCTAGTGTTTCTAGCATGCTGCCAACACTAGAGGTATTCCTGTAGCGGTTTAGGACAAAGCGTGCTGCTCGTCGCTGGACCGCCTCCAACCTGTCAATGCTCTTCTGGGTAAATGGGTCCCAGACTGAAGATGCATAATCTAAAATCGGACGGATAAAGGCTTTATATGCTCTTTCTTTCACACATGAGTTGCCAATCTTTAGATTTCGCCTTTAAGAACCCTAGGGTCTTGTTTGCTTGGTTACATTGTTAATATGCTCGTCCCAGCGGACCTCTCTTTGAATGGTAACACCCAGGTACTTTACTGTGGAAACTGGCTCAAGTATATGGCCGTGCAGTTCGTATTGGTAGTGTAGAGGAGTAAAACTTCTAGAGACTGATAGTGCCTGGCACTTGGCAGGGTTAAATTCCATGTCCCAGCTTATCACCCACTCAGCTAACAGATTGAGATACCGTTGTAGCTGGTCATGGTCCGATCTGTTCGCGATCGTCCTATACACTGCAGTGTCATCTGCGAACAGTCTTGCCTGTGATATCAGTTTCTCGGGTAGGTCATTAATGTATGCTAGGAACAAACAGGGGCCCAAGCCTGATCCCTTCCCACATTCCCATTTAACTTCCATATAACTTCCACAAGTTCATCTCCTTGATAACGAAGTAATATACGCCGATGTTTAATCTTATCTAAAGTCCATTTCCTACGAACATATCCCGCCATAGAAATATAAATTAGAAGTGAGTATACGGTTAAAAAATCAAATCTAGTTTTGGGACCATTCGAAGTCTGTTTAAACAAAATAAACATTCGAAAATTTAAAAAATAATGTTTTAAACAAATAAAAACCCAAATTGCATGGTTTGTGGAACGTCTTACAGCAGCGGTTCTCAACCTGTGGGTCGCGATCCCTTTGGGGGTCGCACGACCTTTTCCCAGGGGTCGCCTCAGACCATCTGAAAACACATATGCTCTACATTTATGAAGTAACAACGAACATAATTTTGTGGTTGAGGGGTCACCACAACATGAGAAACTCTAATAAAGGGTCGCAGCATCAGGAAGGTTGAGAACCACTGTCCTTCAGGAACTAAAACATTATTTAAAAACGACACACTTGGGCTTAATTAAGTTCAATGGTTCTTGGGTTAAGTGTAAAAGATTCTTTCACAAATTTCAATGTTACAAAATTGAAAATTATGGGATACAGTCTTTATAGTGAATGTAACCGGGACCGTTCACAGGCATTGCAACATTAATGGACAGTATATGGTTGAATCGATGACGCTGGAAAGTTTGTGAGTATTTCGCCAATATAGGACCGCGTATAGGCAGCGTGATGTAGTGCGTGACGTTGGTTGGCCGTAAAAATGGGAGAGGGCGTTTTTTCAAAAAGGTAACCGGAAAGGGGCACAAGACATCGGCAGCACACTGAATGCTGCAAGGGACGTGGTATTTCAGGCTAATAACTGGACACGGTAGAGCGGTGCTTTGGGATGGCAAAAGGCTCTCTGAACACTAAGCCAGTTATATGCACTCACCGAAATTAGACTGCTGCTAGACAGGACGTTGGTAACTGGATAGAAGGCTTGAAGTTGTTAAAATGATAGAGAATGGCCCGTAGGTACTTTCTGAAACTGGACATGACGTTAGCAACTTGCTACATGCAGGACGTATGTTATTCACTGGAACTTAACAGGACTTGTTAACCTAATACAGGAGAGGACCAATGTTTCCTCTAAGGTTTGCTTGTGGGTATGCACAATCATACAGTTGAGTGCAGAGTTTTACAGCATCAATTTTTTATGTGCACAAATTTTACAGCCAACAAACACACACACACACACACTCACACACACACACGGAAATTACATAATAGAACATCAGCGCAAAAACGTTTGTGGAAATAAATAAATGAATCATAACTAAACAGTTTTAATAAGAAATGTCATAGCAGTTTATCCAATTTGTTACGCACTGCTGTCTGTAGTGAGAAATTAATATCTTGTTTTATGTTATCGCTCGGTCAAAAAGACGATATTATAGAGAAATACAATAGCAAAAATATGATGCTCAAAACAGTACTAATTAAAATTAATAAGATTTATTGATGTAGTGATAAAATTAATAAACATAGAAATATAATTACAAATCATCAACTTACAGAGTAGGATATGTGAGAAACCGGTACACAGCTAATACAATCTACCAATTAATAAAGTACAATAATGATTGCGAATAAACACATAGAATAATACACGTATCTCGTGAAGTGAAATATCTCTCCATCAATCACAGTCCCTTTGTGTTCTTTGGACCCCTTATACATGCAGCGTAAGACGCGTTGCCGAAACGATTTAGACAATGTTTACATTTCTAGTCCACTCACAAGCTTTCCACAAAATATCATGATAACAGATTATTTTTTTTAAAAGCGGTAATGGTATTAAGCAAAGGCCAGAATCAAAGGAAATAGGCCACACCCAATACTAACGCGGCGACACGTAAAAATGTGACGAAAACACATCGCCTACATAATGCCTCCCCTCTTTTAAAAAATGACATTTATCAAAATGGAATTAATTTTCCCTTTAAACTATTAAACAAAAGCTTCTCAACAGCTTATAAACAATAACATAAGTTATATGTGTAGTGAAAATTAATTTCTGAACCAAGTATCAGCAATAACATTATAATTGCCTTTAATATGTTTTATGTCCGAATGATGCTCTTAAAAAATAGATTTCATCTTAACAATCTTTGAATTTTTGAGAAATACAAAGGTAAAACTACAACAACCAAAACATTTGCAAATTAAAATTAATAAGATTTTTTTTTAGTGTTAATATAATTACAAAACAAAAGAAATAGCATTGCAAATCACAAATTGTCAGAGTATGGTAGATCTTGTACTGGTACACAGTTAGTGCAACGTGCCAAAAATAAGGTACAATGATGAATACGAATAAAAATATATAAGTACATAAAGAATTATACGCTTGTCTTGTAAAGTTAAAAATATCTATCTGAATCAATCTCTGAATCTCCCTTTTATATCTATGCGTCGGTAGAACAACCGCTTCTAGAAATCTCTTCTACATTGTTTATCTTTCTAAATTCTATTAGAATATATTAGTAATGTTTAGTTGGTTTCGGCAGTAAACACGTTAAGATGTGAAAAAATAGGCTACGCACAATAAAAACGCGGTGTCTGCTCTATCGTCGGCACGAGGGAAGCCTGACGTAACACGTCCTACACAACATCTTCCCTCGTTTTACACTTGGCTGATTATTATTTAAAATTTTTAAACCAAGATCGCTTTAACCACTCAATATTATTTTTGTTTCTAATAAAATATATAACTCTACGCATATTTCCGTATGCTAAAGTACACATCTGTCACATAATCGGAGATTAAGTTTTGATGTCAAAATGAACCGAATTGTAACTTAACATGATTTGTTCTTATTTGAATGAGTAATTAGTGAATTAATGAATGCTATTTCACTATGAAATTTTCTGCACTCATTCCCTCAACAAGCATTTTTTCAATTAAAATTACTTTTTGAATATTAAATTTTTATTTGCTTCAAAAATTTGATAAATGAAGTTTTTGGAATAAAAAATAAGGAAAACGTATTAAATGTGTAAATAAAAAAAGCTAAAAGCGTATGTCTTTTGTTAACTAGTTAAAAAGAAATGACTTATATTTGTTGATTTTACTTCTTTCTGAGAAGAAATATTTTGTCCGTTTTGTAAAGTTTAAATATAGCATATAAAAGAATTTAAATATATTCTATTTGTTGCACATTTTTTTTTATATCGGTACAATAAAAGAAATGACTATTATTGTTTGAAAGAAATGCAACTTATTCAAAATAATTATTGCGCTTATTATAAGGATACCTTTGCTCATTTTCTCTCTATATGTATTCATATATGTATATCCTTATTTATTGATTTATATAAATATATGTAAAATATTTATCATTTTGTTTTCTATTTCTTGTTAAAATCAATATCAGACAGCATATTTTGATTTTGGAATGAAAGAAGAAAACCCCGTAGAAAAATTGAAGGTTTATACAAAGAAAAATCCTACTGAGGCTAAGGTGTTTACAAAGGAAGAGGTAAACTACTTTTATAGGATAATCTCATTTTTTTTTTTTTTTTTTTTCCAAAAAAACATAAAAAAAAAATCATCAATTTATTTTTTTTTTTTTTTTTTACATTTTTTAAAAAAAATTAAAAAATTTTTTTTTAGTATTATCTTATTTTTTTTTTTTTTTTTTTCCAAAAAGACATAGAAAAATAATCATCGATTTATTTATTTATTTTTTCATTACAGTTCTTAAAAAAAATTAAGAATTAAAAATAAAATGCTTTTGATTTTCATAAAAAAAACGTTTATTTCAAATATTGTAATGATAAAAACCTACTGAATTTAAACTTTGCATTAGTCAACATATTTCCATTTGATTAATAACAATCTAATTAATGAATACAGAGCAGCAGAATATTAGGGCCTGGAACCTATAAGGAAGTTGTCATCAGAGTTTACAGCCGATCTTTAAAAGACAATATAAAGAATGCCCTTTATGTAGCTTCGAAAAACTGGTTCTCAAATTGGAACAACACAGTTGAAATGAAACAATGTGCAGAAAGGTAACTGTATATCTTTATCTAGTTTGTTAAAGTAAGTAAATGAAGGGCTGCTGGAATGACGTTTGATTCAATAGAGTTATGGTTAACGTTTATATATTAACGACAAATTAAATTCCACATTTTTCTCCCATCCCTTTAAGAGTTACTAGAAGTGATGAGACAATAATGAATGTAAACCATTTTAGAAGCTGACAGGCAGAAAAATAAAACCTACATCAGTTCGTTCACATGAAATTTTGGATTAATTTGTCGGTTGACCGAAATACAAAATTGTTGATACTGTTGCGGGCATTTATTGGATTCAGTCATTCGCATATCATGGATTAAACTCATTGCTTACTTATCATATTCAAAACAAACCCTCGCTGCTTTATCAGAAACCTCAGCTTAGAAATTCAGCTTTATTTATTAAGTGGGCAGAGGCATTGTCATCTGCATCAAAGACCACTCATTAGAGTAAGTTTAGTAACTAATCTGATTGTACATTGCGGCTACCGGGCAGCGTGAATAACAAGTTGTAGCTAGTCAATATCGATAGTAGAATATGATGGTCTTAAGCAAGTAATAAGCAGAGCATTTTAAAATACAGTTTAAATAAACTTTAAGTGCTTCTCATACAATTCAAAAGAAAAACCTTATTATTGGGTAACATATAGCAGCGAATATTGAATGATGATCAGTTTCAGTCTAATGATGAAACTGACAGTGCCGATGAAACCACATGCAAAACTAAGCATTGGGTGATCATCTGATGTATTCTTACTCAGACTAAAGTTGAAAGAGCCGCTACTAAACTACACCGCTATAAAAATGAGAAAAAGTTGCTGAATAATTTAATCGGATAAAATAGTGAAAACATAATTAACATCGATATCTGACATTGTCGTTATTTTCCAAAACTTGTCTGTACATCCCAGCTACCTTAGTTAGTTCCATGGGAACATTTATCTAGGCATGGTGGATACGTTGTAAATAAGACACGGTCGCTACCATGGCCAAATACTTTTAATAAGATGTGTGTTTTCGTAGTTGGCTATCTGATGACAATAAAACTACAATTGTGTGTTATTTAGTTAACATTAAATACCAAGTTTTCTCTATAGCTTTTACAACAAATTTTTTTTTTTTAATTAACGGAAAATAACTAAGAATTAATCGTTACAGGTCATAGAATAAAGTTTTTTTTTTAAATTTTAATTTTTAAAATGAGAAAATAGAAATAAAATAAATGTAAAGAGCTAAAGCCAATGTCCTTCCTATATTTTATAAGGTAAATATTGCTACATGGCAAAGAAATATTAAGTTAGTCATATCATAATAAATCTATATTTTATTGTTCTTTTATTTCTTGATAATTAATAAAATGACAATATTTATTTCAAACAATGTAGGCCACAGAAGAAGCCAAGAATTTCTCAGACATCCCCTGAGTTACTAATGAAAACTGAAAATGAAAACTCAAGCCAGTGACCTCATGTTATTTGTATTTAATATTTTGTGAATGGCTGTATAAAGGAACTCCAACGAATGAAATTTTTATTTGCGTTGTCTTCTATGGCTTGAAATGTTAAATTTTGAATCATCAATCCTTATGAGACATTAACTTCAAAGCAATGTATTCATTTGTATGTAAATTGGCATATGGGAATACATACTTCAAATGTATAGTTAAGACGACGAAATAATTAATTTTATTGTTGTTAACTTTTTGGCAATTTTTATTTGGCATATTATATAGAGAAATATTGTATAGCTTTGGCCGGTATAATTTGGCGTAGCTAGTAAGAGTAGGTTATATAGTCCTATTCCTTTTGAAATGAATTCAAAACAACAACTATGAATGAATAGCTTGTTCCACTCCTAGCATCGAATTCTTTATTTGTTATTTTATAAATTTTGTAGTTATAACAATAACCTTTTAGTTATTGACTTTTTGTTTCCCTTTTTTAATCACTCATGTATACGTTTAATAAAATTGTGGATTTGAAATTAAGGCGCTATTCTGTTCAATTAAAAACTATCAAACAAATTTTGCTGATCATATTTATGTTTTGGCGCTTCATGCTAATGATCCAATTGTTTTTTTTTACTCTATTCAAGGTATGCTTTCATTAAATGAATACGTTGATACATTGGTATACTAATTTTATCATACCATGGATGCATTACACATACATTTTTAGTGATTATTCCACAAGATTTATCAACTCCCCATTTATTTGCTCTATTTTATTTTAATTTGTGTTTTAAATGTTCTTCATTATTGTGTTATGGATATCGTGGAGCAACTTAATTTTAAGGATACTATGCATACAATTATTCAAGACGGTTTGCAGTCTATTATAATCTGTGTTGCTTTTTCACGATCAAACTGAGCCTTAAAGCGAAACAGACTTGCTTTGTAAATCTTTGCCTAAAAAATAATAAGCAACAGATGGTAAAGTAGTTGTCTTGATGGTATAGGATTACATTGATTAGATATTTCTATCTCTATATATATATTTTGAAATATTTTAGGCAGTTGCAAAGGTTTCAGTTTTTAAGGTTAGAGAGATGTTGGGGGGAATTAATGTACCCGGCTACAAGTGTAATACATTTTTTGTATGTAATCTTATTTAATAATCATAATAATATTAATTAGTGGTCTTATATAGCGTAATATCCCCAACCTAGGGCTGGGCTCACCACGCTGTACACAAAAATATTATCAAAAGAGACATGATGATGACCTTAAAATAAAATACATGAAATAAAGAAAAGCATGTTACCAAAAAAAAACAAAAACATTCGGAACATTATAATGTTTTCGATTTACCGAATTTGTATAGGTACCTATATAATTTTAAGTGCTAACTGCCATTTTGCTTAATGGACTGAGATAAATAGTTAATCTGTGAGAAATACGTTTCATAAAAGGTCTAAAGCTTTAGGCTGCATCCTTAATTGTAGTATCTTATATTTTCCGACTGCAGTATACTTCCATATAGAATCAAAAGCGATAATTAATTGTTTACGTGTACAATTGTTTTTGCTTTACAAAGTATTTATCCTAATTCGTACATTTAAATTCACCTTAATGCAATACTTCAATGAAGACACTCTTACTTTAAAATGTTAAAAAAAATATATATATTTACTATTTTCAGCAAATGAGACAATTTCCTTAGATAAGCAGTTTTTTTTTTAAATTTCATCAAGGCGTTCATGGTTGTTCATATCCTCGCAGCACTGATTTGAAGTTTTGTGTCTCTATGAAAAGTTGTGCAAAGCAATCTGTAACAAGTGTATTAAAAGCAAATCTCTTAATGGATATCTTTTTACGATGTTTGCAAAGAAAATTCTTAGGTTTTGATGAGGTATTGTTTAAATACATTTGTACTTTAACGAAACTTCTAGTAAATGTATTGAATATAGTTTTGAATCATGGTTTTCAATGATTTGGAAATACTCAGACGTGTGAAATATTTAGGCTGAACTTTAAAATAAAATATTATGACGCATATATGGCATACTTCCGTTTTTGTGAGACGATGGAGCAGCTATGTAGTCCTAAACTTCGATGAGTGTCTCACTAGGCCAATCCTATAATGACAATCTCGACGCATTTCTAGAATATTGGTTACTGGTAAGATTTTGACTTCCGTATTGTTCTTTTTATTGCAAAGGAACTAGTTTCGCGAATGTTCTGACTTTTTGACTACTTCGTACACTGCTGTTCGCCAGCTGGTACGTTCTTCGGCAATGAGCCATTGTTTTGAATTAGGACATACAACTAATCAAATATAAACATTTACATATTAATTAATGCAATGATATCGCTTTATAGTTTTTATTGTTTAGTTTATTTCACTGTTTTTACAGTAGGTCCCACGTATTTATATTGCCCATGAAAAATCAAGCTAGAAGCCTATTGTGTGTTTCATAAAGATGCTTATAATGTATGATTAATATGTAAAAGATATCATTATTAAAAAAGTAAATTTTCTCGGGACTGTAAAGTAATTATCATTTGTTAATGCCTTTTAAAATATGTATGGATTTTAAACATAGTGCTTTGATCATGCTAGAATAGCATGGCGACAAGCGCGATACAATTATAGTGTATCAATCATCATCAATAACCATATGTTAGCTTGGAGGTTGAAAGGTCTGACTGAAGTGAATCATTCCAAAAAGCTGATTGTCTAGAATTTAATACCAACCAGCCGAGAAAAGTAAATACATCTCTGGCACCCCAGGTGGATGAGATTCGTTCCACATAGCACGCTTTGTTTACTACCTTTAGCTATGTGATTCTTATAATCAATTATTTTAAAACATACAGAGAACGTTTTATTTAGACTTTGGGCAGCAAACAAAATTGCATGAGAAACCTTGCTTTGTTGATGGAAGAAATCAAAACGTTCTAAATAAAAGCTTCTTTATAAAAGATTTTGCCAAGCAAAAAGTATCTTCAAATTCCCCCAAAGCAAATCACTATAGAAACACAGTTTATTGCTTATTCATTACCTTCAATAATTTATTTAGTCCTTTTTAATAATAGCTTTTGTTATAAGGGGTTTGTGACCAAATTTTTTGGGAAAAAAAAACTATGTCAAATTTGTTGGAGATTTAATGCCTATTTTCTTCATGATATTGATTGGAAAGTCTACCAATTAAAAAAAAAACATAATGAGTTTAAAAGTTTAACTGAAAACAATAATTTAATAGATCTTTGAATGTGCTCCATTCTAAATTTAGGCTTATTTAACATGCTTTCAAATTAAGTTATTTTGGTTAAAGTCCAAAGGCGCAATTCAATGTAAACATACCATTTTTATTTAACTCTTTTCATTAAATATTTTAAGAATTTGAAAGGAATTTATAGTGGATTAAAACACTTTACTGGAGCAAAATATAATTATTTGTGTTCGGTCCATTGCAATTTATCTATCAGAAATTCCCCCCCCCCCATACACTTCCGATTTTCAGGGGGGGGGGGCTATGCCAGTTGCCAGTTGCCAGTGGCCAAAGACATAGCTAAGGGATGGCAGATGGGACATACTTCCCAGGTTACCAGACTTGTGGGTGTGGGACACAAATGGGTGTTGGTGGATTTAATAGGCTAAAAATAACCTGTTTCAGAGTTAGAAAAGGGGGGGGGGCTTAAAAATGGATATTTTGGCCTGACGCCAAACACTGTAAATACGTCACTGCTAATGGCGACGAAATAGGGCGGATGGACTGGTCCACCCAGAAGGCACTATTTCTTTCTATGGTGATGTGTCATTTTTGGAAAACTGCAGATTCTATATCGTGAATGGGAGGAAGGCATACATATTTGGCCGCTCATGGCTGCCTTAAGAGTAGCTACGCCACTAGGCAGTGGATCTATCGATACCATAATCGGCGACCATTTTCTTTAAGAAATAGGGCCGAAATTTGTAGCCCCGATAAATCTTGAACAGTGGAGAGGTTTTAGGGGCTTGCTCCACAGAAAATGTTTGATTATTTCAAAATCAAGAGGTTTTTTTTAATATACTTGAATTCGATGTTTCTATTATACCCTTTGAACAGATAAGAACATTTGTAAAGTTTTGTGGGGGGGCATTATTTAGCTCAGTGCTACATATAAACTGAATTCACTCAGTTCGTAGCATGCTCCAGGGCAATCATTAGGGATAATGTTATAAATAACCCCATAGTACGCCCCTGATCAGAATGTTGGATCGGGTGCATAATTAAGAGTGCTTAAGACAGTCGTACAAACTCAAAATGCAAGGGTGCATTATTTTGCCACTTATTTGAATTAGTTGTTTCTTTAAGGCAATTTTGTGGAGGCTGTAATCTGGTTCCCAAATGCAAAGCACCTCTCTCCATGGGCTGGATTAGCCCAAGGTACAGCTTGGCACCATTGGCGTCGCAGGAATTGTTGAAATATTTCATTGTACCAGTGTTATCCACAATGGACCCAGACTCAAGCTATTCGGATGTCATTTGTGGTAGTTTATTTTACTTGAACTGAAGAAGTACTTTTCAAACATACAGTCAATTCAAATATCTTTCATTTGATAAATCATTTTGTCTTAAAACTCAACAATAATATTTTTAATAGTTCTTTTAATCCCAACTTCTCACTTATGGTACCCGGGTGCGAGTTGTTGCAGCCAATTTCTCACTTATTCAAATTTAATGTAACATTGTAACGAATTTCTTAAGCAAAGATTTAACTGGGTTACATGACTTGAAAACTCTTATCTGTAAGCATATACATCATTAATTTAAGCGCTGCAATATCCGTGTCAGTAATTATGCTATTAACTAGACGTTGGAATTTAGACGGTACGTTTGTCTTTCCAAACGGCATTACGTTTCATCGGTATATAACATCTTGAGTAAAAAAAGCAGTGATTACTTTTGCTTTGTCTAATAGGGTAACTTGAAATTCTAAAGCGTATTTTAGTAAAAAAATGGGGAAAATATATGTGTGTGGTAAAGTTGGGGCTTGCACGTATCCCTTTTTTTCAAATACAAAATTGAATACAAAAAATTTTTAAATAATAAAATATAATGTATAGCCTTGTAGAAAAGTCAGCAATAGAACAGAGAGTTTTAACATATCTGTGCTTCTTAAAACATATTTCAAGATAAACGAAGACGATATATCAATTTGTTATCTTTAAATCCGATGATATTACAATCGTGATAAAGAAATTTAATTTAAAAATCAGTATAATTGTTATGTAAACAACTTGCAGAAACTGCACTTCTATTAGGGTGTGGCTTACTAGAAATATTCTTCCCTTTGACCTTGACCTTGTTTACCACAAACTAAAAAACAATTGTCTGTTCTAATAGAATTTTGTGGAAAGTTCGGGAGTTTACTGGAAAGGAAAACAATATGTAAGGTTTTTTCAAATGCCTCGGTAGAACCGACTATATATTTATAGTCCTTTTATTTATAATCCTTCTATATAAGGGGATTCAGAGAGAGGGAGGGAGCTCACGTGATATTTTTACTTCACGATACAAGTGTGTTTTTCTGTGTCTACTTAAATGTGTGAATTCGTATTTTTCATTGTACCTTTTTTTTTTTGCACATTGTATTAACTGTGTACCGGTAAAAGAAAAACATACTCTGTAAGCTGATGAATTTAATTATATTTCTTTTATAGTGTAATCCATAATAACTTAACAAATCTTATTAATTCTAATTAGCAACTGTTTTGAGCGCCGTAGTCTTTTTTTAGCATTTGTTATCATCTTGTTATGCACTGTTTTGGAAGGAGCCATACAGGTAAATATGAGATTAATTTTCTCCCTATAGACAGCAGTGCGTAACAATCCGTTATATATTTTTTTTTTATTAAATTGAGTTCATGGGCTTTGACAAACAATTGGTATAATTACATAAATATAGCCATACTTCAGAAAATGTTTCAAAATAATAATAATAATAATTTCCCATTGCAACTAAGTACATTTACATTTTAAAAATGTATAAAAGAAACTCTTAAATGTCGAAGCTAAATGGTACGCGCATATTTAGGAGAATAATCAATATGTTGTTATTAAAGTATGTATTGTAAATATTGATTGAAAACATATATAAGCTCGAAAGAATGAAAGTGGGAAGAGCTTTATGAAAACACATTTATTTTGCACATATGAAAATTTTATCTGAAAATTTAAAAATTTTTATTAAAATTTTATATATAGTTTAGAGGCTTGCACAAATACAAGTCAATATTTTCATTTAATGTAAAAAGGTATAGTGTTGTTAAAATTTAAAAAAAAATATATCATTAGATAGGAAGTAGTATATTTTTATGAGATTAATAATAATACTAAAACAAATACCCCCAATGATGTTAAAGCTTCATTAATATAGATATTAAAATTAGTTTAGATATTATTATAACCTTACGAGTTCTGTTAGCTTTACGGTACCTTTAGCGCGCATGTTAGTTTAGGGATGTATTCTGCTCTACCTGTACACTAGTAAGTTCGGCAAAAGTATAAAAGGCATGATATTTCCCGCAAAAATATTTTCAGATGACACATAACTGTACAAGTGTTTCCGCCCTGATCATTTGGAGTGTGATACTGCTGTTAAGGTTTTAGAGGACTGATGTCTTGCTGTGAAAGATTGGATGTCATCAAACAGACTAAAATTAAATGATGATAAGACTGAGCCAATTATTTGTAGTTCATACGCAAATCTTCGGAAAGTTGCCATCGAATCAATAAAAGTGAATCAAAGATCTTCTTGTCAGAGACATTGGCTTATATATTGACAGTAAACTAGAATGAGTCCCCACATTATTTCTGTTTTTAGGGCATGCTTCTGTCATCATTGCGCCCTAGCCTCAACTCAATAAGAGAACAATCAATGCTGTAGCGGTAACTCTAATCCGGTCAAGATTAGATTACTGTAACTGTTGTTTGTGGGGTTGACCTCAGACCCAAATTCAGAAACTCCAAAAGGTACAAAATACTTCAGCACGTATTGTATCGCGGATAAAGAAATCTGTACACATCCCTTAAGATCTACAATATCTCAATTTGGTTCCTGTGAGTAAGCGTATTAACTACAACATTATCTCATTGGCGTACAGCTGCATAGAAGGCTCTGCACTTGAATATCTTAAAGAACTGATTTATAAATATATATCCTTCAAGAACCTACAGACTTTAACACAATCCGTACTGAAAATTCCCAGTATGAATGAACACACAGAAAACAATCTTAAGGAGTGCGCTTTTTTTTACTCGATAGCGCCAAAATTATGGAACAGTTTGCCTAAATTTTTGAGAGAATTGAAAATGATAAAAAATGAATTTATAAACATTTTAAAACGTTTTTGTTCAGATTTAAGAAAACCAGAGCGCAGTGAGCATGCTAAAGTAGCATGGATACGAGTGCTATATAAATAATTAAATTTGTTAATTAAATTTTAACGTTTTATTCCTAATTTTGGCGGACCCCAATTATTATTTTTTTATTTTACACGGCTGCCATCTTGGTTTTCGTGACCCTTGATCACGCAAAATATCCAGTGTCGTGGCAACCTTGATGCTTGTCATAGGAAAGAACATGGCATGTCTTTATTACATTTTGCCACTTTTTCCTTTAAATGTGTATTATAGATCATTAATAATATTTATTTAACATATACAAGTAATTATGTTTTTAACACAAAAATTATGGAAATTTTCAAGAGACGAAATGAGTGCCATGTTCGGTAAAAGAACCATCTCGTCTGTTCCTGCAAGATAGTTGACTCTACATGGTAACTAGTAGGGTAGACTTGACTACCTGAAGCTAAAAACTCGCGTCAATACGTCTGTCTCCCAAGGTAAAGGACGGAGAGGGTTACTTTGTAATCTCCCTGTGGGAGAAGGTAAGAAAACAGAATCAAGTTACTATTCATAACACGTGGCTAGTAAATTAAATAGAACTCTAGCGAGGGGAACTTGAAGATCGGTGACAGGGCTCAGGCCGATTGTTGGCGTTCGTGCTACTGGAAGCACTAGGCAACTTGCCGCTGGTCACCTTAATAATTTTGCAGCTTAAATGCAACAGGGTCAGACGAAAAATCCCCAATCTCACCAAACTACTCCACAGCCGGGAAATGAACATAGCTCTTCTTCA